GATATATCTCCCCAAATATTGTTGTTACAGAGTGCATATTACGGCTGCGGAGGACTAAATAACAAATCGGATGAACAATATATATTGGAAATATAGCTATATCTGAACCGATTTCGATAAAATTTGGCATACATATTTTTAGGCCTAATTTGGTTGTATGTGCAAAATTCCATACTATTCGGGCCGATATTACACGTTTGGTGCACAAAAAAAGGCAAATCGGACGAAGATATATATGGGAGCTATATCTAAATTTTTACCGATTAAAATTTTACCGATTATATCAAAAGAGTTCGTCCTTGGGCCAAACAAATGATTTGTGCAAAATTTCATCTGGATCGGGTAATAAATACGAACTGTACTTTGTTCATAAAAATACATGGATAGACGGACGGACAGACAGACAGACCGACGGACGGACAGACAGACGGACATGCATAAATCGACTCAGAATGTGATACTATTCAGATCATCAAAAGGAACTATGGGTCAAACAAATGCACCTGACCACCTTGTGGTGTAGGGTATAAAAAGTAAAATTTTAATTGCATGGCATTCACATCATTTTGCATTAGTATGAATATGAATGCTATAAGGGTGTGGACTCAGATAGCATTTTTTGCATATTTCACATGGAAAACTTCATTTTTTCTACTTGAGATCTAATCACAGAAAATCACAAAAAATTAACCATTTTACCAGAAAATGTTGAAGGTGAATTTTTACACACTTAATTATTGTAAATATATAAAAAATTAACTTATAAGGTAAATTTTTTTTCAATCTTTCAACATTCTGAGTGAAATCTTTCAATTACAGAAAAATAAAGTTGTTCAGATTCTAAATTTTGTTTAGTTTTCGAAAAATAAACAACAATGCTCGGCATGTCTATTAGCCAGTAGTCGGTATATGGTATTTCAGTAAAAAAATATTATTTTGTATATTTTTTTATTTCAAATAGTATAAAACAATGTTATATTACTAATTCACAATTTAATCCAGAATTTGAAATTAATTTCATTTTTAAATAGTGTTTTATTTAATTATCATTCTAAACCAAATATAAGTAGAAAATCAAGAATAGTATAGTTACCTTCAGTAACGTATAGGTTTTCAATTAAAATAAAAATGAGATTAAATAAAAAAAGAAAAAAGTACCTTTCTTATATTTGTGAATTGATCTTTTTTTTTTTTCAAAAATACCACCGCTATCTAAAACGTCAAATAGCTGATTTAAAAAACCTACTTAATTTAGAAAAGTTGGTCAAAAAGCACAAATAAAAGCAACTGCCGACTCAAAACTATTTTTTTATTTGAGTAGTTTTTAGATTATTATACCCTACAACACTATGTGTTGGGGGTATTATAAGTTTGATTGGCCCAAAAATTATGTAACACCTTGAAATATTGGTTTCCCATATAGGAAAGTATATATGCATCTTCCTAGCTCGCCGAGCTGAGTCGATCTAGCTATGTATGTCCGTCCGTCCGTCTGTCCATGTTAATTTGTAATCACGCTACAGGTCGCAATTATGGCCCGATCCTTACGAAATTTTGCACGAAGGTGGGGTTAGGGTCAGAATAGAAACCTATTTCTTTTGGAGATGATCGCCAAATGTTTAGGGGTTGAAATGGACCAAATACTGAAAAAATGTCGGATTTTGCAGTAGCTATACAGGTCGCAATTATAGACCAATCGAAGCGGAATTTCGCATGTAGCTAGAGTTTAGGGCGGGGAAGAAGCCTACCAATTTGGGTGGTCATCGGATAATATTTAGCGGGTAAAATAGACCATATCTTTTGTGTTGAAAAAATTCAACATTTTTCATGAAACCGCGAATATTTTAAATCCCGGCGAAATCACAAAGCCATGACAAGGTTACTTCTGATCTTTACATTGATGTTAACATCCAACAAATCGGATATATAGCAAAATATGTGCGATATATATGTCTATCAAAGAAGATATGCTTGAAAGATCTCTTATATGTCGAGAACGGCTGAACTGATTTCGACAGTTCTCATTAATTTAAAATGGCCTATTGGCAGGAAAGAAAAAACGTTTAAAAAAATCGCATAAAATATCTCTCTAAAGATGAAAATATTAATTTTGTAACATTTTCTCATATTTTTTCAATTTGTCATATTTTCATTTTGAATTAAACATTTGGTAATATTTCTACAGCTAACAAAAGTAAGTAGTTAGGATATTAGGATATCATAAACAGATCTCATTTATGGCCCGATCCTTACGAAATTTTGCATGGGGAAAAGATGAGGGTCAGAATAGATGCCTACTTTTTTGGAGATAATCGCCATATATTTAGGGGTTGAAATGGACCAAAAAGTGCAAAATTGTCAGCAGGTCGTAATTATCGCCCGATCCTCACGCACATTTAAATGGGGGTTACCGGACATTGCAAAAGCCAAGCAGTTTTGGATGGCCATCCAAAAATATTCAATGTGTGAATAGTTTGCAACTTTTGTAGACAAAATACGAAAATGTCCATTCCAGTGACTTTTTGGAGAAATCACAAATACAGGAAAGACGTTTCGTTAAGGAATATAGTCAAACGTCTGTATCTCATATAGATGCGTTTCAGTCAAAAACCAATAATAAATGTTAATCTTTTGCCACTTCTGAGAGATTATAGGTCTTTGGGAAATATTGGTTCCAGATCTAGGAAGACCATTTACGTGCAACATCTACCAATAAATTGGAAATGAGCTAATTAGTTTAAGTTGCTATTATTCGAAAATTAGAGAACGAAACCTGATGGTTTTCTTTTATTATTTGTCACAATATCTTGTGGAATTCTTTCGAGTATCTCGCCTATATAAACTGTATTGTTTATTATAGTGTTGTAGGGTATTCAACGGTCGGCCCCGCTCGACTGTAGCCTTTGCTTACTTGTTTTATTTGTGCTTTTTGACCAACTTTTCTAAATTAAGTAGATTTTTTAAATCAGCTCTTTGACGTTTTAGATAGCGGTGGCCCTTTTTGAAGAAAGGAAAGAGATCAATTCGCAAATTCCAAATATAAGAAAGATACTTTTTTCTTTTTTATTTAATCTCATTTTTATTTTAATTGAAAATCCATACGTTACTGAAGGTAACCTTACTATACTTGATTTTCTACCTATATTTTGTTTAGAATGATAATTAAATAAAACACTATTTAAAAACGAAATTAATTAATTGAACTATGAATTAGTAATATAGAATTTTTTTATACTATTAGAAATAAAAAAAATACAAAATAATATTTTTTTACTGAAATACTATTTGCCGACTACTGGCAAATAGACATGCCGAGCATTGGAAAATGGTGCCGACTACTGGCAAAAAACTACTATTTTAGTAAAATTGCAAATTTTGCCAATTTAATAAAAATAAATTCAATTGTTGTTTATTATTTCGAAAACTAAACAAAATTTGGAATCTGAACAACTTTATTTTTCTGCAATTGAAAGATTTCACTCAGAATGTTGAAAGATTTACCCTACCTTTATAACAGCTGCAAAATCAGGAACATTTTCAATATTATAAGTCAAATTGAAAAAATCGCATGCGATAAAAAATATAAAAAATGGCACAAAATACTACAAAATCTATATTAACATCATTATTGGCCACTTTTTTATGAGATTTTCTAAGATTTTATTCTTTTATGCCCTCCGTCAAAATTTGTCAAAATCTGTGCAGCCATTCTTGAGATATAAGTATTCTAGCTAACATCCCCTTCCTTTGTGTATACACATTGTATATATTTCGCTATATATATCCGATATATTTACTATCGGCATCTACGTAACGGTCTGGATTGGCCTGTTTATCTATATGTGATTTCGCCGGGATTACAAATATTCGCGGTTTAATGGAAAATTTGACTTTTATTTAACACAAATGTTATGGTCTATTTCACCCACTAAATATTATCTGATGACCATCCAAATTGGCAGGCTTCTGCCCAGCCCTAAGCTCTAGTCCCATGCTACCTTCCGCTTCGATTGGTCTATAATTGCGGCCTGTAGAGCAACTGCAAAATCAGAAAATTTTTCAGTTTTTGGTCCATTTCAACCTCTAAATATTATGCGATCATCTCCAATGCAATAGGGTTTTATTCTAGTTGTAGCCCCACCTACATTCTAAATTTCGTGAAGATCAGTCCATAATTGCGACCTGTAGAGTGATTACAAATTAACACGAACATACATTGCTAGATCGACCCAGCTCGGCGAGACATGAAGATCCATATATACTTTCCTATGTGGGAAACCAATATTTCGAGGTGTTACATAATTCTTGGCCCAATCAAACTTATAATACCCCCAACACATAGTGTTGTAGGGTATAATAACAGATTTTCTTTTACATGAAATTACAAAATTTTGGACCTGGCTTCTCGGATGGATTAAATATAGTTTTGGAGTGTTTCTCCTTTAAAGGTGCAGTTTTTCTACCTTTAAATGTACATGAAGAAAAGATGGAGAAAAGGTGACAATGAACTGGCATGCTGTAGGAAAATTCTTGGTAATGGAGCTTAAAAACTCTTAATATCGTAACTAAAACCCTAGGTTTTGAGAACGGATTTCAATAAAAACACGTTTTTGAGAAGTTAAACAAAGTCATGTACGCAATATGAGAAGAGAATTTGAAGTCATATTGACATACAACAAAGGAAAGCTTTTTTTGCTAGTAGTATATAGCTTAAGCATTGAAATATGAATATTGATTTGACAAATTTTGGGAGCTGTTTCCGATTCGTTGACAAGAACATTTTGCGAATTATGTCCACGTTCATTAAAATACCTACACCATGTTGTACATTTCAAATCTCCCAAAGTCCACGACTTCATTGCAAGTAGAAACAAGGATTCAACTTCTCAAATCTGAACCAATATCTACAAATCTAAGCGGCAGTTACGACTTAATGCGCAATTGCTTAAAATAAAATGTTCTCTAAAAAGAGCGATGCCATCATACGAAATGAAAAGTCATTGAGTATTATATTTTGTATTTTCAAGTAGATTTAATTCTTTTCGTATAAAATTATTAAAATTAAATATAAAATAAATTATTATTACTTTTTTGTCCTAAAACTATAATACACATACATATACAAATAGGTATAAAAAACCTAATCTACACTCGATTTGCTGGGAAATATTAACTTAACTTCTAACATGCTCAGCATATAAAATTTAATTTAAATAATAAAATCGAAAAAAATCCAATCAAATTATGCACCTAAAGCTCATTGATGAAAGGGGAAAGGGAGGTGGTGGGTCAGGATGTCTCAAGAAGTCAGTGATTTAAACAGTCACTACATTTCTGGTATTACTTCCCAGTATAGAAGAAATACTGAAACTGGAACGTTTAGTTGGCATATCACCAACACAGGACAACAAGGAATCGGAGGAATTCGATCTCTTGGGAGAGGTGGTGGCTGATATCACTGAAGCTGGCGTCTGTGGCAGCGATTGACATGATTTGCTGGCTGGTGATGCTGAGGGTGTTGTGGCGTTGTTGTGATAATCCTCCGATGAGGTACTAACTACATCCACATATAATTCGTTGGTCTGTTCCACCTGGCTGGAATTGTCCTCATTATCCGATTGCGCGGAATGCTGTTGATACGCAAAAGGTAGACGTTGTTGCATTGCCATGGCATCCATATACGAAGCGGCATGACTCATATACATGGAGGCTGGAGAGGCTTGCACTACCGACGGCATTTGTGGGAAGAAGCTCGGCGCAAAATCATTCATCAGGGCAGCAGCTGTGGCAGCCGATTGTTGTTGCATGGCATAACGCATGGCTCCATTCAAGTCCATGTAGGGCAAAGGTTCCTCACGACTGCAGAAACGTTTATTGTGATGCGTGGCCGACGGTGGTGAATCCTGGCTACTGGCAATACTCGATTGATCATCATCGGTGTGTGACGAGCTATTGGCATTCTGGTCATCTGACAGGGCTGGCGAGAGGGACATTTTCCTTTTACATTTCGATTGGCCGGTTTCACGAAAACCTTTTGCAAAGGGATTGTTGTCGATTTTCAGCTTGGTAATACGATCGTTTTGATATGCTGTGACGGCCACAAATTCCGTTTCGGGAAAAACAAAAGCCTGTTGCGGGGCCCAGGGTATTTGGGATAGGTCATTGGTGCGTATGACATGGATACGTGGCTGATATTTGTGCATGCTGGCCAAGACCACATGACCGTTGTTGTCCAGAGTATTGTTGGTTAGCTTTACTTTGTTGAAGAGGATGGGCTGAGCTTGCCAATGTGAGCCGCTGGCTGGACTGTCGGGATGCAGGTACATTCTCTGTGGTGATTGGGGTTCAGCACCACCGGCTGGTACCCACTGGGAACCGGAGAATTTGTAACGACAATCTCCGACAGGTACCATTTCTACAAGAACACAATATTGGGATTCTTCTTCCAAGCCCTTGAGGGAGACACGCATGGAGGGGAACATACGTCTGCAAGAAAATGAAAAGAAAATAAATGATTAGCTTTAAGTCTATAAATGGTGACAAAGACGATGATGGGTATTATCTATTGACATGTTGGATATCACAATCACACCCCAATGTTTATCTTCCTCAAGCCTAAGGTGGGTGGGTGGGTGTTGATAGTTGCTTCAACCACCCACTCCCCCCTTAGCTTTTGTTTGACAACTTTATCTTTGTTGGGGCAGAATGACTGATAACATTGACATCACACCTGTCTTCTTTTGTTTGTTTTCTTCATATACCCTACATTCGGCATATTCAAGCGCATACATACCTTCCAGTCTTGGTGATGATCATTTCGGTGCCGATTTTATGAAATTGCTGCCACAAGTCTTTGTTCTCCAACTTAGCCTCGACCCCCGGAAGAGGGGGATGGGAAGGCATTAGCATGTGTGGTGGCAAGTGCATTGAGGGCATCATGGCCGCAGCAAATGGATCAGGTATCCGTTGCATTATCTGTTGGCGATAGATAATCTCTTGGGCAATTTGTTGTTGCATTCTTAAATCCACTAATTCGTTCATGGTAATCATTTTATGTTTTGAAAAAAAACGAACTAATTTTTATGTTAAAAATTATTTAATTTTTGCTTCTCCGCTGTGAATTGTTACTTCTTCAACGGTTGCTCTCAAACTGATTCAACAGCACAACTCAGTTTACTTAACTCTCTGCCAAACAAATCACACAAATCTCTTAAGGGCCATACTCTCTGAGATTCGTGATCAGCACTTGAGTTGTCAAGAGAGCATTTGTGTGGGTATGTTGTGTATTTGTGTGTGCTGTGGGTAGCCACACACACGCACTTGTTGGCAAACTTGTTCTACCTGTTACAATATGGACAGTAGTTCCATTGTTTCTCTCTCCCTCTCTTTCACACTCATTTGAATGGCTAATCTATTCTTCTCTTTCCCACCAACAATGGTACCAACATCCAAATGTTTGATCTCCATTTTTATTTTGTTTCAATACAAAAAGAAAAATCAATGTCTCACATGTTGTTGTTGGTGGTGAGAAGGAAAAGAACAATCAACCCATACTGAGCCAGACAGGCCACTTCAACTGGTCGTTCGTTCGTTGCTTCGTTCATTCAAAATGCCTGTACTAAGTAAGTGATATATTAATAATCACTTATTGTTTTCATTCTTCCCGGGGCTAACTCTCTCCAGTTGTTGTCATTCAAAATTGTCGCGTAACTAATTTGTTTTATTCCTTTTTTTTTCCGAGACAGACAAACAAACAAAAGAGATTCTTTTTGCCTACTTGAGAATTAAGAAGCGCCTAATTCAAGTTACAAAATTGGCTTCCAAATGTCACCAACCGGAAATGGCTCAATATTGAGTTGAATTGAGGCTAGATGATTATCATAAGAATCGTTGGGTGATTTATATCAATTGGTCTCCGGTCTCTAGCTGCCTTTTTGTGTCTGTAATTGCAATTATTGATCCTTTCCAAGTACTTATGTATGTATGTATGAAGTTATTATGGAAATCGCAAAAGGAATCATACGATGATCCATACTTGAGTATCCTGTTTGTGGAGGATCCTTGCAAAGAGTTTTTATTAAAAAATCGCAGGCTTTGCTTTCGGTAATTTAAAACCAATTTCCGCTTTGTGGTAATTGACTTTTGTGTGCATGAGTGGCCACTGTAAGCCTAATTGCCAACTCCTATGTTTGTTTGTTTAAATTTAATTATCATTCTTTAAAACAAACGATAACAAATAGCTATTTTGAAATTCAAGTGTTTCCTTTAGATGAAGGACATGAATTTAAATTTTTTGTAGGACTTATAGATAATATATTTCACATTTCAGAAAACGAACAGATTTTTTTACTGGAAACATTATTTTAGAAATGCAGGATACTATTTAATCCTTTTGAAAGTTAAAAACTATCAAGAAAAAAACAACAAGTATTTGGCAGAATGAAAATATAGGGTAATGCTCTGGTCCAGAACTGCAAGAATGAAAAACTTTTAACTACAATAACCGATTTTTCTTTTATGATAAGAACCAGTGGCTTCTTGCATGTTCTGGAAAAAACATAAATCTGAAAACAAGTTACTTTTAGCCATGCTACAATAAGGAGGTAGAATAGCTTTGTAAAACTAGAGCAAAGCAGTCGCTTCCTGTCAGAATTTTTCAAAATTATATGCAAAAAATTGCAATTTTTACTCATCTTTCATATTTTTACTCATCTTTCAAATGCGTTAAGTAGCGTGAAAAATAAGTTAAATAGTATCAGTCGGTTTTGCCGAAAGATGTATACCCCCAGCCTTGAGTTATGATTATTCTAGCTGTTGACCCTTTATGAGGAAGGTTCCGGAGCAGTTGGCCAATATTTTCCAATTCGTATCTGACCTAAGTCCGATTTAAATATTACAACATGTCAGATTTAAACTATATTGGTTACTTCCCATACTTTATATGAGGCTGAGATAAAACAAGCTGCAACAAAGTCAAACGCCATAATTTTTACAATTTTTTTTTTTTAATTTTATTGAATGAAAGTAAAAAATTTCAGAAATAGCATAAAATTTTAGAATAAGTTTAGATTTGTTCGCATTGTTCACCTTTGGAACGAATTATGGCCTTTAAACAGCCAATGAACACACGCTGCCCGAATGTTGCTCTGCGGTATTTTGACCCATTCCCGGCGAAGCGTTTGCTTGAGGTGATCGACACTTTGATATTTTTTAGTGCCAACCTTGCTTTCCAAAATACTCCAGACACAATAGTCCAACGGATTGGTATCCGGAGGTTTTGGTGGCCATTATGCGCTGGAAATGAAGCGAGGAAGCTCATTTTGTAACCATTCTTGGGTGGCGCGTGCTGAGTGCTGTGGTACTGAGTCCTGTTGGAATGTCCAAGGTCTGCGGCCAAAATGTTTGCGTCCCCAAGGCTTTAATACACCCTCCAGAATATTTTCGCGATAATATTCGGCATTTATTCTGATGCCACGGTCGATGAATACGAGCGGTATGTGACCATCGGCTGTTATGGCGGGCCACTCCATCACCATGACCAGTGTTTGTGGTCTGGTGGCCAACCGAAGGTGCATATTTTCAGCTGACCTCTTTGTGCAAATGTTTGGAAATATGCATGTGGTGCCGGATGTTAATTTCGCGTTTTATGAGCTTCATGGATATTCAAAATTTTCACCAGAAGGAGTGGACCGACATAGTGGACCAGAAGGAGTGGACCGACATATCTCATCTTCACAGCAGATTTTGTGTTAGTAGAAATAGTGGGATGTGTAAAATATGAAGAGAACCGGATGCTTGTTTCGGATTTTATAATCGTTTTGGTTATTCAAAACGTTGATCCTCTGTGGGGGAGGTACCAGAAGAAATGATACGATCTCCACCATATTTATAACAGATCTTGTGTTGATGGAAATATTGAGATGTGTCAAGTCTGAATGGAATCGGATGTTAGTTTCACTTGCACTTATGCAAAAATTAGAATTTGCAAAGTTAAAGCAAAATCTGATTATTCTTTCTCTTTCTGTGCAGTAAAATAATTTTTTTGAAAATGTCGACCTTTTGTGTGGGAGTTACCAGAAGAGGCGGACTCGAAATCGATATAAGTTTGATAATAATATTACGATGTACCAAGTTTGAACCAAATTGGATACTCCCTTCGAGAGTTATTTTGCGCACCAGCTAGACAGACAGACGGACAGTCGAACTGACGGACATCGCTAGATCGACTCCAAATGTACTGAAACGGATTTGGCCCAAAGAAACCTAGGGTCTAAAACCGTTATTTCGGTTAGGCACATTTTGGCCGTATCAATTGATATATACCCTCTGTAGTCATATGGCTGAAGGAATATCAACTAGCCCAATAAACAAAAACTATTTTGGAGAATGGAAATTTGCTAAAAAACTATAGTCTATACTTCAGGTCTACTCTCAAAACAGAGACTTAACATATGGGTTAGATTTAAAAAACAGAAGCATTCTTGAGTAGATCGTATAAGTATATCAATAGGCAACTGCATAACAAGTTAGAAAGACAATTTTCTCTCGTCCGGAGCAGGACTGGTTAAAGTGTTAACACGTAACAAACTGCCAGACAAAATTCATTGTCTGTCTGTCTGCCGTCTTATGGTTTAAGTAGCTGCATTGCATCTCAGTGTCCGGTTATTTTGAGCGTGCAAACCAAATGTCACCGCTTCCGTTGATGACGCCATTCTGCGAACTTGCTTGCCCAGCATACTGTGCCAACAGACCGCAAAATCTCCTATTAGCAATTGCTGGTGGAATGTAATACAAGGTAAAACATAGAAAAGGATTAGATAACGGACACAGATCTACCCTGAAAAACGGTAGCTTGTAACCTGACAAGGATGTCGTTTGCAGTTAAGAAAATTAATTTTCAGAATTTTCACATTAGGTAACTTGATTTGTACGACTCTTATTGTTGCAGGAAGTATTTCAATTTAATGTCTATACATTTTTCTATGGGAAAAAATATCTTCTTACCTTGCATTTTTATTAGATTTTTTTATAAACGCATGTCAATCTTATGTCGAATGGCGTTCTTATATAATCTCTTATGATGCTAAAATTAAGAAGGTAAAGTCATTTCAAATTATAATATCCATCTCTGCATTTTCTGTAATTTACCTTGTCAAATTTCACTGAATAGAAAAAAGGTTTCCATCTCTGATTTGTGTAAATACAATGAATTTATAAATATATATTTTGAGAATGAGATGTTGTTATTTTTTACAATTTCTTTGGTGGCTTCTGACCAAGGGACCAAAGATATAAAAAGTTAAAAAGTATCAATCGGGTATGCCAACAGATGTATACCCTCAGCTTAGGTCGGTTTATTAAAATATATTTTGACTTACATTATGATTATGCAAAATGTTGACTCTTTATGGAGAGGACACTGAAGGAGTGGACCAATACTATCCACTTCTCATCTGAATCCAATTCACATCTAATCCGCGTTTTTTATGAGATACTTTTTTAATATGAAAGTGACGTCACTTTTGTTTGGCAAATCATCATGAATAGGTTAACTCAAGAATAATGCTTCCACATCGTGAAAACTTATTTTCAACAATTTTGATATTGTAAAAAGCATTCAAATGAGCTATAATTTGAAATTTGTATTTCTAACGTTTAAAATCCCGTACTGCGTGGTATTCAGTTTTGTTCACCTCATACTTGAAGGCAGAATGTTGTCAGAATAGCCAAAAAAATTACTCTTTTGCTCCGATTACCGTAAAATGGACATTAATTGTTTGTCATTTAAATTGTGTGGTGGAGATCCAATAAAGTTACTTTATAATTTCGTATTTTTTTCATGTTTCTGCCACAATTTCCAACTGAATGAGTCCCAGATTGACATTTCGGAGTTTATTTCATATAGACGTACATCCCAAATCTACGTTCCCAACCAATATTCTCTTGGGGGTTACAAATTCAATAGAATACCAAATTTTCATTTCTGACCACACATTGGTTGGGAAAGTGGACTTGGGGGTATACTAATGTGGGGACTATACTTAAATAAATTCCTATGAGGATAATTATCTGTAAGATGATTTTATACCCCAGGGTTTTTTACCC